ATATATATATTTATGTATTTTTTTTTTAAGTCAATGTATAACATGGATGCTTAAACACCTTATTTTATTTCAGTGTAAAATTCTGTCTAAACTAACAGATTATAATTAAAAATGTCTCCGGACCTTTGTTGTTTGATGATTTTCTTTATTCGGACCCTGCTGATTTTTAATTGGTTACCCCTGATCTGAAGGTAACTATCCTTTAAAAAAATAAAAATAAATCTCTAGAGGTCTGTGGTCCTTTACTCAAAAAAAAAAAAAAAACAGTCCAGGTAAGTAACCATGAGAGACAGGATGTAAGGTTAGGTCCAGTGTCTGTGAGGCTTAAATCAGAATTCAAGGACGATGATAAGGGCAGGGTGCAACAGGGGGATTATTGAGAGCAACCAGGAATATATTTTATGGGAAACTGGGATGCTGGCTTTGCACTCCACCTTTGCTTGCATGCATAGACAGTACATTGGTCAGAGGGTAAATATCTGTCCAAACTGTGAACTTTGCAATATATGGTAGTTCTGAATGAAATGTTGCTCATTCCTGCAGCAATGATGTCCCCAATTATATTGCAGACTTATTCAGGAAGTCGCACCCCTTTTTGGTAGTATCAGGTAAACTATAGAAAACAAAAAAAACCTTTATCCTCCCAAAATGGGGAAAATCATCATAAAAGATGCCGGACGGGTGCATAAACCTGGTGGCATAAAATTCGGTTAGTACAAACCAAACAGGGAGGTAATTTCTGTGTATTCAGTATCCCACCTTATACAAACCTGAAGTCAGATCCATTGTAAAGCAGCTAGAGCATCAGCTGGATATGCAAGTGGATGGGCATCTTGATAAGTGTAGCATTTTTTTTTAACCTTTATTTTACCAGGAAGTCCCTTGAGATAAAATCTCTTTTTCAAGGGAGACTTGGCCAAGAGGCGGCAGTACAGTAAGACATATAAAAACACAGGACAACAAAATAAAATCAATCATAAACTAGACTCTAGAATAACAGTTACAAGGCGGTTTTCAGTAGTGATTAAAAATGCTGTAGCGGAATAAGAGTCCGTAATTGCAGGGAGTTTTGAATATTGTGCCACGACCATGGTGCTGCATAGGAAAATTATGTTTTGCCAAGACCTTTGTTGATCCTGGGAATAGCGAACAGAACACAACTTGAAGAGCGTGAG